ATACTGATAAAATTACACAAAATAAACGCCCCATAGTGCTAACATTTATAACACATATACTGATAAAATTACACAAAATAAACGCCCCATAGTGCTAACATTTATAACACATATACTGCTAAAACTACATAAAATAAACGCCCCATAGTGCTAATATTTATAACACATATACTGCTAAAATTAAACAAAATAAACGCCTCATAGTGCTAAAGTTTATAACACACATATACAGCTAAAATTACACAAAATAAACGCCCCATAGTGCTAAAGTTTAAAACACAAATACTGCTAAAATTAAACAAAATAAACGCCTCATAGTTCTAAAGTTTAAAACACATATACTGCTAAAATTACACAAAATAAACGCCTCATAGTGCTAAAGTTTATAACACACATATACTGCTAAAATGACACAAAATAAACGCCTCATAGTGCTAAAGTTTAAAACACATATACTGCTAAAATTACACAAAATAAACGCCACATAGTGCTAAAGTATAAAACACATATACTGCTAACATTACACAAAATAAACGCCTCATAGTGCTAAAGTTTAAAACACACATACTGCTAAAATTACACAAAATAAACGATGTAAAAAAGTAACTTTAGAGTCAATGGTATGAGTTATAAGTCATTGGAAAAAATATCTCAGTATGTAAGATAAGATTCCTGTCACTCTCTCATTTATATGATGAGCTAATGAGATATTAAGCAGCAAATTCTAGCATATGACTAAAAAAATACCAGTGAGTACAATAGGTTCTAAGATATTTCTGATAACTTCTTGCGTGTAAAACTACTGAATTTTGATATATAACTGATAAATATTTGCCATTTGTAGGATTTCCTGAAACATGACTCATATCTTGTTACAGCTTTAACTTTCGAAACTAATAATTATTTAAATTTATTTGAATTCTAGTTAATATGAATATACATACTTAGAAAACATGGGTGTGAAGCTCCTTGATATTATGTAGTATGTTACTGTTTAGATTATTTATCTAGTTAATATTAATTCTTGTTTTATAATGTTGTCCATGTGGTTTGTCTTTATTGGGAAGTGTTGAGGTATGATTGGTGTATTTGGAAATATTATTGTTTCGGTCTGACTGATCACTGTTAGTATGAATTTAGTACTCGCTAATGTGTAACTGCTAGTCCTTAGTATATGGAGGACTAATTGCACTTTATAGGAACAATGCTCCAGGTCCTGTGGTGCTTTTGGGACTACTTCCTCCATCAACAAATTTATGTCAGGAAAATGGATAGCATTAGGAGTAATTCCATTCCCCATCGATCATATTGTTGCATCAGCGAGGTCACGTGACTAGTATCACGCCATCTTCTTCTAGAAATATCCTGTTCCTTCATGAATGCTCTAGCGTTTACTAGATATGTGTTAGTCTTGTTTATATAAGACGGTCACAAAGTGACTGCACAGGGAATGAGTAATTGAACTGCAGTCAGAGAGAATATTGTTGAGCACGTGAGACGTTTGTTGAGAATTATAGCGTTTGTTATAGCGCGACTGTTGAAATTAAGTGTATCGCAAAGTTATATTCAGAAAGAATAAACCAGTTTTATTTAAGAAAGTTTCGTCGGAACGAATTTACGGAAAATCAACTAACGAACGGAGACGTAACAATATCAATGTACATTTGTGGACTTAGAAGTAATTTCAGCTAACAACTAGCGTTTATGTGTTTCATGAAATGTATCCTATCATTTCCTTTGATGTTACTTTAATTAGTTGTATTGATTAGAATATTTGATATATCTAGTTGTATTATTTGTATAATTTTATTATAGAGATTTTTTGCATTGTTAGATTAGTATATGGATTTAAGACTGATTTAAATCCTCCAAGCTGGCCGAACTTGTGTGATTTTAGTGGGCTTACGGCTGAAAATATCGTTAACAGTGAAGGTACCCAACTGAGGAAACAATACATCCTAATCTTAATAAGCAAAAACGTAAGGGAAGTATGTTTAATTAGTTATAACCAATAGTCATTGCAGCAATTTGCGGGTAGATTTTTAGTTTTGATCTACGTAGGTAGCTGTCTTCAGAAGATAATGTGAAATACATTTTCCCTTAATAAAACATCTACTTTAGGCACCATCTAGTGAGTAAATGCCGTATTTGTTAAGAATTTTTCTGAAAAATGGCGGCGAGTACTGGTGGTTGTTCATCATCCTCAGATTCATTGTTTAACAATTTTTATGTTGAGGTTTGTGTAAATGAATAACTAACTTATTTCAGTTATTCTTTATGGCTTAAACGTATGTCAAAGTTAATGAAATATGTTTGTTTACATTTTATACTTAATATATTTAAACTAACAACATTTAGATAGCCCTAACGTAATTAGTTTAACTAACTTTTTAGTCTTAGCACACTGTTGTAGGATTTTTAATACCACACAGTACTTATATAATCTTTGTATTATTATATAACTATACAACTGACTTTTAGCAGATAGGCCTAGGGAAAGTAAAATCAAACATTGGGGTCTTCTACTAGGTTGGGTTTTTGAATTTTTACAACATAAGGAAAAGAGCCTACTAACAGCTATTGGTATTAACGTAAAGTGTTTAATAATAATAATTAAATATCTTGGATGACCATATTTTCAAATTTTAAAACTGGATTTCTTTCTTTTACTTTTAAGTTTTAGGGAAAATGATAAGCAACCAATTATGCCAGTAATAAATAAGGATAAGTGGTAAGATTATTATTATTTAAATTATTGCTGATACAGATGCCTTTTTGATGAGTGATTTTTATTTTTAAAAATATCTCAAGTTAATTCTTCTTGGTCAGGAGTTTGTTGTAAACTTCTTAGCAACTGTCATTCATCTTCACCCTTGAGTTAGTTTAAATAAATGCTTCACGACTTGAAAACAACCAGTGTTGATTATTCTTATTTTGTAATTTAACTGCTTATAAAAAATTTTGTATTTTCCCTGTGAGTAGCAAAACTTTTAATTGATATATGGCTGGCTGCTTGGTGATTAGCCAAACTGATTTGGTATCCTACTGCCAGGCAAAAAAAAAACAACAACCTTGGCTAAAGTATTAAACTACCTTCTGTTTTTCAGGAATTCCTCAAATCCCCTTATAGCCATAATAGACACCAGTGTGACAATATAGCTGTATTATCTATGAAAAGATGCATCATGAAGCATGGAATCTAGCAATCAGACTGGATCACCACTAACACTCGTCCTCTTAACTATGTACATTCTGTGTCTAGCCCTGCTTGATTCCCCAGCCATGTGCTAATCTTTGCTGACAACATTCTGATGTGAAATGGTAGAAGCTGAAATCAAAGGCAAGATGCAACCATCTCTAAGTAGGATGAAACAAAGGTGCATTGCCACAGGAATGGTCATCAATCATGCCAAAGCCATATTCTGTGCACTCAACAACAGACATGCTAAAGAACTAAAAAACATGCTAAACCACTACCATCTTTTTGTGGGCATTGCTATCCTTCTATAAGAAAAACAAAGTAATTTATGTGGTGTAACCTTTGACAGACAACTCGACTTCACCAGCCACATTAATACCATAATAACCAGAGCTACCAAAGGTATCAGTGCAATAAAAGTTGCAACAGAGTAGAAGAATGTCATAACCTGCTTATCCACACCACCCTGGATGTGCACTACTGATAATTAGGACGAGTGCTGTACAGATAGATGAGATTGAAAAGATAAATAACACTTATTTAAGACTTTCCACTGGATGTACTTCAGCCACCCTTTTCAAGGCCCTGTTACACCTCGCAAGCCTCTGCAGCATCACAGAACAACAACAGTCCTTACAAGCAAAATACTTTGCTAGAGACATGCAGTGTAAAGTCCTTTTTAATTAGGACATTCCCACTTCACAAAGACCCTGCTAATACGAAATAAGTTGGGGATGACCTAAAAAAGCACCCGAAGAGACAGTCATAGATGAAAAGGTGCTATACAGCCATTAATTGAGATAATTTACTACCAAATCTCAGGTTTACCTGTGTGGAATAAACATTTGGCTCAACTGAGATCCGTGAAAATCAGCCTAGACTGAAAATACAAAGAATGGGCATAGGGTGAAGCAGAAAAAGCCTATTAGTATCTGTTTATAGACTATGGCCGATAGTCATCTGTTATCGTAGCCACAGAAGGTCCTTACACCAAAGATGGTGAGAAAACCAAGTGGGCATTCATTGTCTTATAAAGCAACGGTATATTGAATAAGGCTTGTGGAGTATTCAAGTTTCCCAAAACCAGCATGAGGATGAAGCTGGAAGCTATTAAGAAGATTTTTCTCTGTAGTCCTGAGAGCAATGATGAACTACAAATACAGTGCCATCATCATAATATTTGTAACTAACTTACAGGTAGTACTGTTTAAAATCCAGAGTGGTTAGCTCCCAGGTGGATGGTGGAAAGCTAAGAAAAGATCATCACCTGGATGTATGTACTAGGCCATATGGGGGTAAAACTGTGCTAGGAAGCTGATAGACTCACAAAAGAAACCTCTTTAGGAAATCCAGCACAACTCTACCAGTGGTATGTTGACCTCCTGTACACCAGTAATGTGAAAGCAGCAATTATGGAAAGTCTTCGTCAAGATTTAGCGGGAGTGAAACTGCCACAAAGCAAAGTATCATATTGTAAGGGTAGAAAAAGCAAAAGATGGTGAATGATCAGAATACCACTGGGAAAATTGGTGAAAGAACCTCTTCTGTGTCCTACAGCATGTGTCTGTTGAACCCCTGGGGTTATCACCTAGTACCCTATTGACTATATAAGAATTTATGCCACTACATTTCATGGTGTTAGCAGGTGTTGTTAATAATAATGTCAAAATAATACTCATTAAACATGTAATGAAAGAGATTCTTAGTTCACATTCCTATTGATACTGAGGTATTGTGTGTGCATAATTTACTGAATTTAGGCAGTGCTTTGTATATTCTGATATAATTTAGTGGTTAGTTAGTTGATGAGACAGAGGTTCGAGCATCACAGGTAGACCTCACAGTCTGATTGTTAGTCTATGTGAATGAGTGCTTCAAGTTTTGTATTTGTATTGTATACAATAGAGGTTGTAAATGCCATTCGGTTCAGGTTGTAAAGCTTTTCAAATACACTGCTTCTTTTTTAACTTGTCTTAATCAAGAGTTTAGTAAGTTATAAAAATGCCTCAAATTATTCTTACACTTTGATAAGAACCTAACTTTTGGCTTTATAAAATTCAAGATAGCGATAACCTGGAATATTTTATTTTTCCAAAAAAATATGGCAAGCAGCTGAGGTACAAACCACACTTGTGATGGTCAGGTGTATGATTACGTTTACATTTCTTTGTGTTGTTTATGGCTCGTTGTTGTAAGTCTATGTTTAAAAGAAATTATATAAAGCATGACAACATTTGTAACGTGATCTATATTACAGACAAGTAATGTATACAAAGTTATTGTACTAATATGACCCAAGAGCACCTCTAAAATACTACTTACAATGTTATTATCAGTGCTTATTATGCATCCATCCATGACATTCCGGGTTCAACACAGCTAACTTTCTTATGCTTAATGTGCCTCATCCACACACACGTTACTTACGGTTTTACTTTAGAAACTTAAAAGGTGTAAAATTGTAACAATTCTAACCACAATCCTATTTCACCAACCAAATAAAACTGTTCATCTTTAATAATACTTTTTGATATAAAAAACTGTCTCAAAGGTGCTCCTCAAAATTTCCACTGTGGCTCCCTTAATTGAAATACAAAGCGATATGAGTCCTTTAAACTGCAGAACCTAGGAATAACTACTCTTTAGCTTGAATAAATATATCATACTTGGTACATTTTCTACACTTTCATTATTAAAATTTTTGTAAAATCCACACTTCATTTAAAGTGTTCAGATATTTGTTAGTAGCTACCATGAACACAAAATCTTTTAAAATAAAATAGTGTTTGAACTAAGATTCTTTTTTGTTGTTTACAGTAATGAATCTGTAAAGCTTCTATGTATAACAGTAAGTTACATAAATTTATAACTTTTGCATTTTCGTATTACAATAATTCAATTTAAAAACAACCTTTGGTTTAGAATGCAATCTTTATAATGATGGATTTCATTTTTAAATGGTTTGATCAAACACCGAAAAAAATCCCAGGTCTTTTTTTTAGCATTCATTTCCCCTTTTAAATTAAGATGAGGTAAATGGTTTACATCAAATGTTCATAAACCTGGTAATATTAGAAAAACACTACGTAATGTATGAAGTTTTATGTAAACAGAGCTAAAAGAAAACAGATGTCAAGTCATGTCTTGCTTACTGTTTTTGACAAGTTTTTGTTAAATTAGCCATTTATTTAAATTGAAATGGAAGATGTCTAGTCCACATTTTTACAAATGTAAATTTAAGTACTTTAAAATTCTTTGCAAGATTTCTATATATTAAGGTATTATATCATGTTGTTATTATTTTTTCAAAATACCAAATAATTTATCAGCTAGTTTAGAAAGGTAGTGAACATTTACTTGACAGAAGTTTCCAAATTATCCACTTTGGCTCACTTGTTATAGTATACATTTAATTCAGCTTTGACTGTAATGACTTTACTCTTGAACCATTCCCACAGAATTTCCTAGGTCTTCCTGTGGTTGATATTTTGGGAAATTCCTTTAAACTTGACCTAAAAGGTGTTTCTGAAGATGCACATGTAGAATAATGAAAGACTTTCTTTCTTGTTTATCTCAAGAGGAGCAATATTGGTCACAGTCCACTCTGGAATAATCACTGTCTGAGTTTGGGTACTATCCTCAATGAGGCAAATTGTCATCAGAATTAGTACTGTGTACATATTCAACACCCACTAAAACAAAGCTTATTATGTCATTGTAAAACTTTTCATTTAAATTAGTTATGGTTGAAATTCAGAAGCCTAACTTGTTTAAGCACTTACGACACTTAACTTTAGGAAGTGAGTTCATCTGAGAACATGGTTATAAATATTCTTATAACGAAAATATTCCTCATTTCTATTTTATTTCTGCTACTTCATGTATATTTTACACACAAAATATGTTGAAACTTGTGAGGGAAAATGTGAAAATATTTCCGTATTTTTACAGCTTGCTAATTAATTCCTCCTTTTCTTTTCCGGACTTTGTATTATTATTTTTATATAACTTTTATCTTTCAAGAGACTGTTTCAGATTTTACAAAAGATACAACAGTATTTATTACTTCCTGTAGTGTTCGTTACAGAGGATAGACATTTAAGTTTTCATTTATTACTTTATATCTTCATAAACAGTAGTTTTTGTAGTTGTAACTTGTCTGATAGTATGTAGTAGGCGGTGGCTTAATGAGTTTTCTTTGGTCAAGAAACCTGGTTGGAGAGCAGGGTTACAGTTTTCCAAAAAAAAAATGTATCTGTATCAGCGGTTCAAAATGGCAGCTGACATTTGTTTTTCCTGAGCAAGATATACTATATTGTTTATGTATCGTTACTTTCATTAACAGTATTGGTTATACTAGTTAGTATATTGAATGTTATTACTTTTTTATCTTGTTTTATATTTCATTATTACACTTTTATTATAAAGAGTGGTTTACATTGTAAACTTAAAATATGTAGTTAGGACTAACCTAAGGTTTCTAAACTGGCAGAACTTTATGAAATTTTATTGGGATTATGGCCGAAAATATTGTTAACAGCAAAGGTACCGAACTGATGAAACGGTACATTCTAATAGTTATGGATAAAAACTTAGGAAAAGTACTTTTAATAAGCTGTACTCATGGCCTGGTTGATTTTTAGTTTTGTTTTAAGTACATAATTTACTCTGATTGGAAGTTATTTTATCTGACAGAGAATACCAATAATTGCTGTATTTTTCCATGACTTACTCTGATTGGAAGTTATTTTATCTGACAGAGAATACCAATAATTGCTGTATTTTTCCAGGTTAGTAAAAAGAACTGTGTTGAATGTAAATTTCCCAAAAGTTGTTGATAAGATGCCACACAAAAGATTAGCTGAGAAAATCATGTTATTCGGACATTGAATTTTGGGATGCTTAGATTGGAAAAAGTTGTTAATTAATGAAGTCCAGTGAAAATGACCATTGTAACTCACGGAGGGCCTCGGGTGTTAGTGCTTGGACGTACCTTTGTTGTTGTTTTTATTTACATTAGTGAAATTGATAGAGACTTATTTAATAAAGCTTGAAGATGATATTAAACTCTTTAGTATTTCTAGCTGTATTGAAGATGTTGAGGTACTGCAGAATAACTTTGATTAATTGGTGAAATGTTTGACAAATGACCTGTAATTATAATAATGCAAGTTATCATAATTTTCATCATATATTTAATATTGATGGGAACTCACCCAATAGTGTGACTAAATAAAAGGATCTTAGTATAAGCAGTGGATAATCAATTAAAGCCATTGAAGATAGTAGCATAGCTAACAGAATTTTATAGTGTAAACTCTCTCACTACGGGCTCGGTCCCATTTTGTCCTTGGTATAGTTTTCATACTATAACTTTTCATACAGTATGTGTATCTTCGAAAAACTTTACAGAGTTTGAGTTTCTAATTCATTAGAAACTACAAACTCTGTATTTGGACTTCACAAACATTAATTTGAACCAAACCTGCACTCAGTATACCATGTGACACACAAAAATTTATATTTAGGATTTTTTTTTTTATTTACTTATAAATTAAGAAATTAATTAATGTACAATACTAACATTTGAATTATAATCTACAATTTGATGCCAAAATTATTGACATACATTCATAAAATAGTTCAATGAAATTTTGAATGTATGTCTACAAATATGATGACATGCCCTTTGACCACTGACCATAGGAAGATCTGTAGCAAGAGGGTTAAACATATTGATTACTAGTCAAAAGGGGTAATTATCTATACAAGTTACTAGTTAGGTCTCACTTTGAATACTATGTATGCTTCTGGTCTCCTTATCATATAAAGGATGTGGATTTATTGAAAGAAAAGGTGACTAGGATGATTTTGGCAATGGATGGGATGGATGCTTTACGAGATAGGTTAAGATCTCTGACTTATCTTCTCTTGGGAAAGAAAAGGGCTAATAGGTTACCTTATTAAGATTATCTTGGAGACTGATAGGATAACCATCTCTGTCTATTTTGTGTAGTTTTTTCATCTTCCCAGACATATAGGATGAGTAAATAAAATTTGTAAATCAATCTTTCATTTCTTAAAAATTCATTGAGTCCCCTCTTAGAATCCCATATGATGCCAACCTCCACTACTGCTGATAGCACTAACCCTAAAAAGTAAAATGTCTTAGCTAGAGCCTAGTCTATCGTTTCAAATCTTAAACTTGTCTCTCTTCTTCCTATTGTTTTCAGGACAGAGTAAAACGAAGTGGCTTTTAGAACTTCTCACACTTATTCCTATCAGTTTTAATTCCAGTGTTAAATAATCATACAGATTATAAAGTTTTGTAAGTATGAAACTAAATGATGGCATATCTTAATTTAAAAGATGATAATTGAGTTACGCATTTATGTTTATCAAGCTTGTGATAGATTAGCAAATTGTTGATAAACAGGTTGCTGATCTTACAAAAGTGACACTAGACATTATTTAGTAGTTTAAAAGAATAAATAACAGCTAGGATTTTAGTAAATTGTAATAATTAAATAAAAGCTTGTGTTTTATGCACATGTTCTGTGTAAGTAGAACCACATTAGCCCGTGGCTAGTATGTCTGGATTTCACAGTAGCCAGAACTCAACATTCTATCATTTTGGGCTATGTGGATTCTTACACCCTTCTGTAGTCCATATGTTATGTTTTCCGGTTGTTTCTATGTGAAATAAACATTTTGCACTAATAAATGACATCCATTTAATACATTTTTAGATGTATTGTCACTGATATGATGTGAAACTGCCAAAAAAAAACAAAAACTTGGTTTTATAGTATCACTAGGTTTTTAATTTTATCTAATTTTTGTTTTAATTGTTGTTGATATGTAGAGTTTCATTAGTATGATGTTGTTCTCATTCGTTAAAGCATTTTTAGATTGATGAACAAAAAAAGATGCATAATCTATATCACCCACTTGATTTAAAATCAAAGCTTTTGGAAAATCTTCCATTGAGTTCTATCGCATAATGGCTCCCTCTTGTGTGATATTTCGTGGTATCCCTAAAAAGTTATTTATACTTTTTACAGTTGACCCAACAATCATCTTAATACATAAAAAAAAAATATAGTTCATGTAAGCCAAAAATCTGAACCATGATTTGCCCCATTTGACACTGGCAAGTAGAAGTCTGCTGTCTATGGACAATAATGTAGAGTTGATGAATATAACACTAATGATTTATACTTGAGCTCTTTGGTAAGACTTAAGAAGTTTTACTGTAAGTTGACATTCACATTGCTGTGAAACCATATTCAGTTTCTGTAGTCCTCCTGTTGAGTAGCGTAAGAATTTGACAATTTATATGTGCCTCTAATTAATCAAAAGTCTACTTGGTTGTTATTCAACAAAGCATAATAACCAGTAGATAAGATGGACCATCAACATCACTAGATAACTTCTGGTTTAAATGGTTTTTGTTTTGTTTTTTAAGGTAAAAGAAATAGAGAAGAGAGATTCTGTCCTTACTCCTAAACAACAAATTGATCGTCTTCTCCGTCCTGGCTCAACTTACTTCAACCTTAACCCATTTGAGGTAGAGTTACGTAAAGGATTTTGTGTACATTTTAAAGACAATCAGTTGTGATTATAATAAAATCAATGTGATAAATATGTCCAAATGTTTATCTTACAGATTGTGATTCTCAGCTGTTTATACTAGAATAACAGATGTGTGTGAATTTGAAATGAAATACAAATATTAATCTGCATTACATTCTTGTATTTTTCAAGGCTGTACTACAGAATAATCAGATTTGTTACGTACTGTCCTCAACTTACACGCCTTAAATGATCCGGTAACTGAATTGCTTCCACCATACACAAAGTTGATACCTTTTTTTTTTTTATCTCCACATCTAACTTACAAGATAACATGCTTATGCATATATTTAAAAATATTAACATGATTCAGAATAAAATATTGTCTATCTATATTATGACTAATTCAATACCATTTGTTGTTTTTGTTTTTTACCTATCTTTTCATGTTATGCGAGTGAACAATTTCGTTTACTTAGTAAGTGTTAAAAAGTTAAAAGTATAATTAATCAGGTTTCGTCTGCCTTATTATACCTTTTACAGTCAAGTTTTGTAAAGAACCTGTTTCAGTCGTAGATGAGTGGAAACTCTTAATATAAAATAATTTTGAAGCACCTCATAATCACAAATTAAATTATTTTAACCATTTCACAGACTAACTATTTCTCTGGTTTGCTCATCACATAAAAATTTAGGTTGGGAAACAGCTTGATATTTTGAGAAGTTCAGAATGTTTTATATTTTTTTATGATATAAACATTTTTCTAAGAAACGTGATAGTATTTGAGGAGACGAGAAAAGACAATGTTATTTTTTTTCAAATTGTAATAAAGAAATGTACAAACAGTACCTTGCTTTTTCTTTGTATACTTATACTTTAATAAGAACCTTCAGATAAGTAGATTTTAATATCATTACAGAATTTACTTGTTTGCGTTAACCCTGCAAATGGTTGTTTCGTGCTTTATAAATACATACAAATCCGTTATTGTGGGATGAAATACATGTGCGGACATTAGAATACCAACTACATTCTCTTAGTTACAGTAACAAATTACATATTAAGATATAAAATTGGTAGAATGTGTTTTATGTTTAACATTGTGGGTATTTATTTTTTATTTTTTTTAAGTAGTACAAAGTAAAGTATATGTTTGGTATAAACTGTGTACAATATAGACAGTTGTGGAATTTAGTCCGACGTAATTGGCATCAGAAACAATGATGACACAGTGATTCAAACACCAACACTGTGCTCAGTCCTCTGTTCTACATGTACGTGTACACTATAATTATTTCAAAAGGCCCAGAAAGATGCGTAGAAATAGGAATGTCTCTTTAAACATAGGGATACGGAGGACGTGGCCACCCTTGTGCATTGAAGTGGCGCCTCTAGCCACTTGCCTCGGAAGTAAACTTGAGAAAACGACGCTGGTAACTACAGGTAAGGTTGACGAGGATGAATAGTCCTGTTGTCACAGGAAAACCGAAGTTATTCTAAAAGGTGCGAATGTATATTTTGTGTTTGTTTTATTTTTGTATCTGTTTATACACGTCTTTCACTTATTTATTATTCTTGTAAATACTTTTTTTTCTATCATTATATTTCATACAGTGATACTTTATTTTTGTAATCCATTCAGATATTTACAGAAATAAACAATTATATTTGTGTGGAAAATATAGATTAGTGTGAAGAAAAGTTGGTAAAGATGTTGATACGCTTGTAACATCAGTTATACTTTGCATAATATTTTTGTTTATAAGATAAGATGAATTCAGTAGTTAAAGAACACTTTCAAATTATATGAAACATACTGATGTTGTTTGTTTATACCATAATTTTGTATTTAAGGTACAGTTTTATGTGAGGGTGAAGTTTATGGTAGAAGGACACTTAGAATAAAGTTATGAAATATACCGATCTTCCCACTTTTTTGTACAGGATGTAAGAAAAAAAAAACAAACAGTAAAGTCAATCTGGAAATAAATTATGTACTATAGATAAGTTTTAAATTAATTCTGAGTGTGCTTTCCTAGTGTAAGATTATGGATTTTCAGAGAGTGAAAATGGGTGAAATGACATATTGAAGGCAGCCATTATCTCCCGAAAAATAAACCTCATCAGTAACTCGAGAAATTATAAATTTTTACATCTGTATACCTATTCAACAGAGATTTAAAAGAATCTCAATGGTTAGAACCTTATTAAGTATACTATTAACAGAGCTGGGTGATTAATGGAATTTGCTAAATAATTAATTGTCAGTCTTAGTTAATCTGTTATTCTAACACAAACCTAATCTTCACGTTTTCAGCTTTTTTTATTTTTGGTAAAGATGTTTTTAATCCACCCATTGTTTAAATATAATAAACAGCATTGGATACAAGAAGTTTTTTAAAATTGTAATCTGTTGTACGTGTGAATTTATCGTGTATGCAATGCAGTACAAGACTTGTAACAAGGTAAAAATATGGTTAATACTGTACTGTTTTTCCCACAACTTTTCACAAGACTATACTAAAACCACTGAATTTTTGCTGGTAAAAATATATATTACTTTGTGACATTGATTATAAATCAGAAAGATATTAGATATAATAGTGACTATGAGGTAAAGGTTAGCACAAATTATATATACTTTGTTCTGATGATTGAGATTATGATTTTATGTGAACACCACTACATATGGGATCAAGCACAAGTGTATATATATACTGTACAAAGAGAAATAGACTTAACAGAACGTGCAACGTTTTAGAGGTAGAAGAGAATATGATTAGACATTATATGCTCAAAACAATATTCTAATATAAAGTGAGCTGAAAATTTATTTTGAAACAGAAAGAATGCTGATTGTACATATTTATACTTATTAAACATTTTGCTATGTGAGCACTCGCCCTGTGATCAAAGAGTTGAGGGTTCGGGATGTGCCGTTACACCGCGACTCAAATTGAGGGAAGTAAGAGGTGTGATTTACAAACATGACAGACACTGTACACGTATAGTTGTTATACAAGTTATAAATTACAACATAACACAATGCAAAACAAGTAATTTTACATCTCGTAAAAAATTAGGGACAGCAGCTTTTCTGTATCTCGTAAAGAAACAAATATAACTCTCCCATGTTTGGTGGCACTCGGAATTGTACCCTCGAGTCATAAGAACCCCCTCCCTCACCTGGCTTAAAGCTAAACAAACTTGAATTAATTAAAAAATAATAACGAGAAATCATAATGACAATGTCCTGATTACTTGGATAGTTGGAATAGTCTAAAATAGTAATAATTAGATACACTAATTAGTTGATTATTTTTGTCACATTAATCAGTAATTTCCCATTACCTTAATTGGTTTAACTTAAGCTTATAAGTAATCAGTTATATCAATTAACCAAGTTAATTGCCCAGCTCTAACTATCCATTAAGTTAATATATCTAAGACAGAAATATTTATTTCAAACTAGTTTTAATGTGGGTTATCAAAGGTTTTATTATTATTAATAACCTTGTCAGTCTAGGTCACAATACGTATGTAGTCTGTATTTTTATTTAGCAATTTTTGACGTAAATCAGTAGGAGGTAAACATTAAATATGTTTGTACGTAGATAATTATCATTGAGATTAGCAAAGAGCAATTTAAAATGGTTAAAGCATTTTTTACTTATTTGGAAGTTGGTAGCTGAACAACATGAAGAAAATTGAATAAAATGTCAAAAAAATTTTAAAAATGTAGTGAAGTCATAACATATATATATATATAATTTCAACCAGTCTTTATTAAAATTCATCAACATTTTACGAATAGTCCAGAATTGAGCAGATATATTGACATTCCGTCCTGTAGCTTGTACACCATTCAGAAGATAGAGAATTTTTATGAACTGGTGAATGTTTAGTGTTCAAAGTTAACATAAGTTTTGAAAGAAAATTAATGAGACTAATATACAAATTCATATGTAGTTCTGATAATTAAAATAAAAGCAATATCTAGATGTATGCCGTTTAAGGTCTCTAAACGTAAGTATATAAATGTTCACAGTTTTTTTAACCAGCAGGTACGATTTGTATGGGGTACTAGTATAAGGTTGCTGGACTTTAGAGGTATTTCTAAGTAATCATGTTTCCTTGAATATGTTGTATGATACAAGTTTCATCAATAAAAATGATTATTTTTTTAAACGTTTTTTCGGTGATTTTGTTAGTTGAATATTCAGAATTAAGGTTGATATTTCAGGTTCTACAAGTGGAACCAGAAGCTGTTTTAGATGATGTAAAAAAACAGTACAGAAAGGTAAAACTATGTTCTTATAATAAATCTTTTATTTAAAACTAAACATGAATTTAGACCGGCTTCTCTATAGAAACCTCGGTTTATTTTATTATTAGATATTATTTACAAAGTACAACTGACAGTTTTGTAAGTTACTGGGAAATAAAGTTGGACATTTTATTTTAAATATATGATAATGTATTTAGTAAAACAAAAATATCGAACCTCTTGCTTTTTAGACCCATCTTTGTTCTATGAAATACAAACAATATATCAGAGATTACTTACTTATTAGTTAAACACTTATTTTATAAACGGAGATTAGTTAAACATTACTTCTTTCTAGGTCAATCCTTCTGTTTAGTAGCATTCAGCACACTTTTTTTCAGTATCAGTGTAATACTAACAGGTATAACTACTAGTTCCTGCAGAAGGCTATTGGCCCTGTGACCTTTTCTGGAACTGTCTGACAGTTCTATAACAATGTACTCATACTTGACATTCAATAACGTTCACCATCCATGAGAAAAAGGATTTGATTGAAATTTTAGTTTACAACTGAGCTGTCATCACAGCATTACATCACAGAGTAGGTTTTATTGAAGTATTTCTTTGTAGACGCAGTTGTCAATAAAAGTGCCTTGCTTTTCTGTTGCAACACTCGTGAGATTTTCATTAAAGAAAAACTAATAAATTTTTTTTAAGTTTGTTTTTTGATTGTTTTATATCTGAAACATATCATTTTCATGGAAATTTCAATTGTTTTATTTATTGCTCAACTGTAAAAATATTACCCAATTATGATTGGTGATGATTCGTGAAATAGTTTCCGAGAACCGAGTTTTGGACGTATACATCGCAAGCTCCATTATAATAAGATTGTATCTGGTGTTTTCTCTTGTCTACCACACACACTGTCACTAACTCGGCAGTATAGAGTAAAGTGAAATCCAATATACGTAATACCATGTTGAATGGCCCTCTGTAAAAAGGTTTAAGCAATCTATTATCATTTTTTGGTTTGCCAACTCAATACTGTTATATGTTTAACCAGTTTAACTTTTAAATTCATAACCTTCCTTTCCACACGTGAAAGTCGCTACTGATTTACTTTTCCAATATCTAAATAAAGCTACCTTTGTACAAGACATTCGTATATGATTCATCCATTTTATTTTCATCACTGCCACCATTAGTGCATGAAAAATGAATAAACTTTAACAATGCTTGAAGCCTCTTGAAATGTAGTTGTGCAAAACTATATCGATGAGACATTATGATTTTTACTTCACATTGATACAATAATGCCTACAAACTGAAGGTTTTAATTTCTTGAAAGTGGTTTTTGAATTAGTTTTTTGTTTTCCTTTTCTTGTGACAAAATATTGACAACTATAAGGTACAATCATTTTTTACTAGAGCATCTTTCCCATCAAGAAAGGAGTGTTTTGTTTTCAATTTGAAGCTGATTTTATTATTTATTACCTTTTAAGTCGTACAGCTAGTTCTTGTTAGGCCCAGTACCCGGTTACCATTTGTTTCTTAGTGTTAATCTTAAGTAATACTTGCATGCAGTCCACTGCACATTCTTTTTTTTTTTGTCTATTTTGATTAAGTGAATCACCTACAACTTTTGAAGCTTTTAACTATATGTGAAACATGTTACAGCAAACTCAAATTTTCCCAAATTACCAGTTCTTTTAATAAAAAAATATTTAGTGTAGAAACATCTTATACTAAGACGATTACACGAAGTGTGACAAATTTAGAAGGTCCAAGGTGAAATACAGTACAATTTTCTTCTTGAATATGACATTAGGGATTGCTAAAATAAGTGCTGTTAAAGTTATGCATTGTTTGTTTCCGCAAGTTTTACTTATGGAGATTTAATTTTTTTCTGTGTCTGTTTCTTTAATTGGTGAAGACTGTTCAAAGTTATTCCTGTAAGATATGAAGGTGTAATGATACGTTTGCTGAAGCACTTTTTATGTCATAAACAAAACCACTTTAATTTTTGAAATTTATCACATTTAATCAGTGTAGCAAGCTAACTCCATTTAAAATCAGGAATCCCGGTAAACAAGGTGATACAAGGATTTTTTTTTAATCTCTGTCAGAACCTATCTAACCATTATTATTGTATGGTAATATATTAAAGATGTGTGTTATGGTTACATGACACCATCAGATACCATGTATTCAACACTGGAAGCTGTACTTTTATATATATATATATATAGAAAGTTGACAACGAGATGCCATATACCCAGGATGGCAAATAGACGGCACACGTGTCAAACATGACTCGCAGTGAAATTTTGTTCGCTCACTGAATGGTCAAATAAATGAATAAATACAGTATTTATAAATATTCATATAACCTTGTAACTATAAAAATTAATAAAGTGTGGGTATGTGTATATGTATACCATATTAACCCTAATTAATGCAAAGGGGAGGGCGCTAGTTATAGTATTTGTGTAGTTCCGGATTCTATTTTTCACACGTGATTTGTCGATTTCAATGCTAATGAGTGTGTGTGTGTGTTGTTTTTTGTTTTTTTCAAATCAAAATTGTGGTAATAAAATTGGATTATAAGTTGGATTATCATTGCTGTCACACAAGGTAAGCTTTATAAAAATACTGGGGGGTGTTAATAAGGGGCATTACGGTATAAATATATGGCACACTTGAAAATATATTACACTTCTTATTTTATTTTGGCCAGCCAGTTAAAACCTCTTTGCCATTCCTGCCATATACTATGTGTAAAAAAAGTAGTAAAAAAAAG